AGGCTGCCCTGGGTGCATCTTACTATTGCACTGTTTGGGCTTTCTTAGAATAAAATATTTTTCCCAAGTTCTAAAAACGTAAGCTGAAGATTTTCACACATAGTTGATATAAGAAAGGGGCGATCGATGGTCCTAGAAGGTCATTCAAAACAGATGCGGAGTTCCTGTTGGTCTGAATAAGCAGAATGCCTATGTTCACCAGTAAGATGTATTTTCGTTGTTTTTGCTGTGTAGTATCTGCAGATTCGCATAGATGTTGAAAACACAATTCTGTAGCTCACCAGACAGGAACAGCTGACAGACCTAATGCTCCATAATCTCGACCATTTCAAATATCATTTTTCAAACATGTGATGTGCGTACGTTTCTACAGGTAACTCAGTGTCCTATAGGAGGGGTTCAGCGAGTGGAAATACCCGTCCATTTGGGTATTAGCTGTAGTATTGCATTCCGGATGCCTCATATTTAGGTTCAAGAGGGTGTTGGTGCAGGATTATCTGGCGCACTCTATCGATCTACGATGATTTCAGGCAATTTGGGGTTTTTAGTATGTGTTCATGGATGATGGCGTCTTTTACAAATACCCGTCTTACACGAATTGCTGTACATTATCAACCGGATCTGAAATGGTTTCTCTGGAATCGAAGTTTTTTGCTCTTGTACGTTTCTGCGATGACTTGTCGGAAAATTTTAAAATATGTTCAGCTTGATGAGCTCAGTCGACAGGAAAAATGAAAAATAAAGGTGGCGAATACTTTTTGGACCCAGCGAACTATCTAATACACAAAATCCGCTGCCAAGCTTCGTTAAGTTTCCTATTAACACATATTGTAGAGCTTTTCAAGGCGCACTGAATGGTGTACGAATGAGTATAGATTCCTTTTAGTTTCATAGAAAAGAGTGAACAACAGTTGCCATGGCAACGTTCCGACCTATGGAAAAGTCTAGTTGAGACGAAACAGAGGCTGTTATTATTATTTCGTCTATAAAAATTTGTTTGCCGATTTCGATGAAAAGCTGGTCGATTTCTATCGGTATTAGTTAGAAAAATAAGAGATTTAGCTGTCTGATTCTCTTGATCGTAAGAATTTGTGGATGGAGGAGAACGTGCGTCAATATTAGCAACAACAACTGTTCTCTCGGGTGTTTTTAATCGCAGCAGTTGCCGATTTAACGATTTCGTTAATCACATTTTCGTTTTGATAGGCATACCTGTTCGTGCTAGTCTAATCTAACATCTTCTTGTCTTAGCTCTGTCATTCTAACTCACTATTTTCTCCACTATCCCGCAATAATTATAAATATCTTTGTACTTCATACATGTTTCACACAATCGGCTTTATATCAGCAGAATCTGTGTAATAAAATATGACTACAATGACTGCTGCCAGCATTCCGCAACAACGCTGGTTTTTCAGCAACGATGGAGATTGTACAACGGAATTAAATTATACTAATTTTACGGAACTACTTCGATGTCCGTCAAAAGGAAATTTTTTCCCGGATTGTGATACAATTTTGGAAGTGATTCTGCTTAGCGCTGATTTATTTAGTCAAAAGCCAATCGAATCGAATAAAGCTTGCATTTGCGAACATCATCTTGAAAAATTTTCGAGTCATAAAGACCCTGCACTTGTGAAAAAATGCTCACTGTGTATTTCGTTGCGTAAAAGTGGTGTGACCGCTACAAGTGTTGCTAATTTACGCAATGTCCGTAAAGTGGAAGCGTTTCTTTTATTCGAAAAGCATGGTATGAAGAATTCATTTGGTGACATCATTTGTAAATACTGCGTACAGGCAGTGAAAGGCGAGTTAGAAGAAGAAAGGAAAGATGTATCAACTGTAACCGACCGACAAAAGTATTTGCAGTGGATTAGAGATCAGCGTAAGTCAATATCATCGAAAAGAGAAGATAGTGGTTCGGAATACGGCGGTTCGCGACGTAGCTCACATTCTTCTTTAGGTGAGATTTCGAAAAATCCATCGGAGGAGAAGCGTGATCTACTAAATCTTCTTCTGGAGTTATGCAATAATCCGGATAAAGCATGGATCACACTAGATTTCAAGAAAATGGCACGCAATAGTCAATATAAATTTTTGGCAAAAACTAGAAGCATCATTGAATCGATAGTTTTTTTTTTAGCTCCGAATAATGCTGAAGAAGTTTTGGATTCGCTCTGCAGTGGAAATGAAAGTGAAAATCCAGTAGTGTTGAATGGAAAGTTTTTGTCCGTAATGAAAGGAGTAACACAAGCGTATCAAAATGCTGACGACTGGCCTACGAGGCGTGCGATGCTGAGCATTGTTGCATCGAAAATAGGTTATAAAGTCATTCAATCATTTGTACCTGATCTAACTATGTGTCGGTTTAGTTCAGCACGTTTGCATGCTGCTGTACATAGAACTGGTGCAATAGTACAACCACCTCCGAGACTGGTTAATCGATTTGATGATGCTCACGTGGAGCACTTTGGAGACTTCCTCACATCAGATCATATTTCTACTGATTTGCCATTTGGAGAGAAATGTATGAAGTTAGCCGATGGAACGGAACTATTCGTGCCAGATACAATACGCAATATCATCCCTACACGCATCATCGAACAGTATTATGGATATTGTAATGAAGTAAACCCTGGATTTCCTCCTTTGGGTGTGTCAAGTCTGTATGAAATAATCGATGTGTGTAAAGCCTCAACAAGAAAGTCGTCGCAAGGTATTGACTATTACACAGCTGATGCTGGCGAAGCTTTTGACAGTTTACAGAAAATGATCGAAAATTTGAACCTCCTATCTACCGAAGCTCAAAGATTGATCGATAATCTACGGCAAGGACGTCAATATCTGAAAAGTGATTTCAAGCTACATGTTTCTGAGTCGAGTGATATAGCAGATCACTGTATTTGTCATGCTCTATCCGATCCATCCGACAAGGCATTTCGTTCTAAGTGCAATTATGATCACAGTAATACATGCAAAGATTGTCTTCTTTTAGCGAACTCGTTTATAGAGATAGAAGCATTGCTAGTAGAAAAAGTGATTGATGACGATGAGGCCAAACATGCCGTTGCTAAATTAAAGCTATTGAAAGAACCAGTTGATGCTTATAAGTCTCATCAAATGCGTACGGTAAATCAAGATCGAGCTCGAGAAGAAGTTTTGGTACAACTGCCGAAGGATAGTTTTTATTATTATATGGATTGGGCAATAAAGTTTTTGTCGGCAAAGTATCTGGAAGCACAATCTGATTTCTTCGGTAAACGAGATTTGAGCTGGCACACTAATCGTTTGACTTCTGAGCAAAATTAGTTGTGTTTTGAAAATTGGAAACTTTCAGAAAATCCGACTTTTTTCTTGGAAAACTCAATTATGTGACAAAATTAAATGAGCCATCTTCTTCAGTTTTTATCAGGCCTTTGAATGAGATACTGCTTGAACCAAACGGATGAATCTTGACTGAGTTACAGGCAAAATACTCGCGACGCCTACTTTTTTAAAAATCCCCGAACCGCTTTACTTAAAAAATTCAGAACTCAGTCAAAATAAGTTCAAACGGGCTAAAACTTTTTTCATAACCCCACTTTTGATCGCAGAATCCAAAAATATCAAAAAAAAATATATTCATTTTGACCGTTCCACTACAATTCTCGATGGGCTTGTAAAGCCTCTCTTAAACTTTCGCAGATAAAAAGGTTGTCGTGAGTTAAAAAGAATTTAGTTGAGGTTAAAAGAACTACACTCTAAAAAAAATGCGACTTAGGATCAAATTAATGTGCCTTATTCTGTGAAAATAAGACAGATTAACGCGACTTAATTTGATCCTAAGTCGGATTTTTTTTAGAGTATAGATATTAGTATTTTGATTGTAAATAAGTTAGTAATAAAAGATAGTTTAAAAACAAATGATATAAGATTATATGGCTGTTTGAGAATTCAAAAATAAGCTGTATGTCATTTAATACGTTTGTGAACTACTCTTTTATATGTGATATCCGTTGTTTGTTTTGCATTTAATTCTAATTCCCATTCTAATGCATGTACTTGATTTATTATGCTCCTTATATCATTACTTGTAATATCTTGAACTAAATTGTGTTTTGGTTCTAATGAATAATTTGTTATTTCACCACAAACCTTTGATTGTTTAACTAATAAGCGAATTGACTCCGATTTTGTATTTTGTATTTTTATATGACTATCTATTTGTTGTTTTACAAAAACTGATTTGCCTATTTCTATTTGTTGTTGTTTATTGTTGTTATCGGATGTGCTTGTTGTTTCAAATAATTGAACATAAACATCTGCCGCATGTGTTAAATTGATTAGTGTTTTATGATTTTTTAATGTATAATATAACGTATCTTGACCAATGATTTGTTCTGTTTCTGATTTTGTTATTAATACAGGACCAGTTGTCCAAATATACGGCGTTAAATTTTCTAATTCAATACTATGCCATACCTAATAAATTAAACAAGAAAAAATCTAGTTTTTTGAAAGTGTTTCTAATTAGAATCGAGCTTGTCTGAATAAAAGAATTTCTACATAATCAAAAAGTTTAATGCATCAGCTAACATTCACTAATGTATTCACTTCTGTTCTCTATATTTCCTTTTCAGATAACTTTAAAAACCTACTAAAAGAATTGAAACTCGAATATTTTTAAAGAAACGCATGGGTCTGAAATTCGTCCGAAACTATACTTTTTTACTTCATCGAAATTAGGGCGAGAGCATATTTTTTTTTGTTCCAAAAAATGTTGCTCTGGTCTTTTTCACACTCTTTACAAAAGGGCGGGGCGATTATTTGATGAAATCGGTCCCTGCTTGAATTCCATCGACGCATACATGGTTAGATGCAGAATGAACAGGAGAACGTTTCTAGCCACCCGACAGACCTTAGAGTTGCTCTCAGAGAAAACTAGGTCGAATTTACTGTAACCAAAGTTCTACTCTTCTTTGTTCAACGATGACGATCCTGTGCTGCACACTTGTCCGCTAGCCACGACGATACATACACCATTCGATAGACAATTTCCCGCGCTACAATTTCATATATTACTTAAAAACCAAGTCCTACCCGACCCCAGCAGTGTCTAGTATATATGAAAAATTTTCAGCTCGATCGAACGTCGCAGCTCGGATAAACGAGGGTGAAAAGTGGGGCCATTTTTAGCCATTGTGACCTCGATATCTCATAGAAGACAGTCGAGAACTTCGAGTCTATGGCAACTTTTACTCTACTCATCAAGATCTATCTACCCTGAAATTTTCAAAAGGGATGGGGATGTTAAGCCGTAAAACCAGCCCCCTCTTAAGATCCTTTCATTTCTCATTCAGATATCTAATTCTGATATGAGGAATCATTTCCCCTTCCAATTCTGCAACAAAAGAAAACATGACCATGCAGAATTATTGCAATTCTAAAATTACAACTTATCCTAGCACTTACAGGTTAGTATCTTTCATTTTTTACTGTTCCGTTTATAGTTTAAAATTACAAATTATATACTAGTCGATAGATCTTCTCAAGCTTTACAGACTAGTATATAAAATTAATAGTTGCCGTTAGATGCACTATTGTTTTCGTTAAAAACTTGGATTTTCAGGCTATGGACATTATATTACAGATGGTCATTTTTGGACATGCCGATGATCATGACCCGAACTCAATTATGTATCATTTGGTGGCTTTTGAATAAATATTTAAGATGGTACCTACATGCTATTGCACATGTAATGTCATCGCAGGAAAAGTTGGTCTACAAGCGTAACTGTAAAGCGAAGACCTCGATGCAAAAGATACGACAAGCATCTGAACTCCCACATCTCAACCTTTTCCGACATACAGTTTCGAATCCATTATCATCCCCGGAATGTTGCACAGTAACTCACTCCTAGGCTGCACTCGCTCCACCCATCCTCCATCCTGCCACAGTTCTTATATTCATTTGACTTCGAGATCTACCACAAAGTCTAGCATATTTTTAGAAACTCCCATATTAGTGTACTCTCGTGTATTGTCAGTGAGAATACACTAAGCGCACCAGCCCAGCAAGTTTGAAAAGAAATACTCTCTTTTTGAGAATACACTGTGCACTGATATTCCAACATCTCTGATTTTAAAAAGAAGTGATACGTTTAGTAATACAAATATGAAGACCGATCGAATGGCTCAAGAATCACGTGGACACAAGAAGAGAACTTTTAAGCTCCAATTCTCTATCACACTTGCTTTTCTTTGAGAATGGTCTGTAGATTGCTAGTTCTGGTTATTACTCGGCAACATACTAAATCCTATTTTCGTTCGAATGAATTCTCTTTCTCAGTTGATGACTTGGTTA